CTCTGAAAAGTTGATTTGTGTAAGTACAAATAATAATCATCATCATGAGTTTAAAGAACATTTCAAAATGAAATCTAACTAAATGAATGTTAAAAACCTAAGATGGTTTATTCAAACATGACAGACAGTTGAGTCGAACGGATTCGTGGATATGCACTGCTGAGGAGTTCAGTACTAAAACGAAACAGCCGTCCAGTGTTTCCACGTTTTCCATGATGATTTAACTTTAATTAACTCATGAATTCAACTATTAAATATCCACAAAACCCTTTTCTAAATCGAAGATGTTGATCACTTAAAACTAAATTTTGATCATTCACTTAAAGAAATTAATAAGACTATTAACAACCATATAAACAGAGATAGATGGTGATTAGTAGTGGGATCCAGTTTGACGCGTGTTTTGTTCTATTCACGACCTGTCAACTGGATGTACTTGCATCTCGCAGTTGATGTTCACTCCAACAACAAATAAATTTAAACTTCACAACATTAAACAACCAGATGGCTATAAGGACTCAGTAGCTAAGTAGATAACGCGATAGTACATGAATCGGACGGTACTGAGATGGCTATAAGGACTCAGTAGCTAAGTAGATAACGCGATAGTACATGAATCGGACGGTACTGGGTTCGAGTCCTAGAGTAAACAACACTAAGATGCAGGTACATCCAGCTGACGAATCCCAAATAGGATGAAACGCACGTCAAACTGGATTCCACTACTAGACACTAACCATTATTGCTTAAAAATACTTATGACTTAAGACTATATCGAGGCCATCTTCACAGGATGCACATATGCCCACATGAGATTGGTCACTTGCAGTCCTAAATAACGGTAGGAAGATACAAGTAAAACAATAACACCAAGTGAATTCAAACTTTACTCCATTGCAGAAGTAGGTGGCTATCAGCCTTCAGTAGCCAAGTGAATAACATGATGGCGTTTGAAGCGAACAGTACTGGGTTTGAGTCCCAGATTGAATATCAATTATGAGATGCAGGTACGTCCAGCTGACGAATCCCAAATAGGACGACACACGCGTCAAACTGAATTCCACTGCTAGCGACTATCCATCTTTGCTTATAAAGCTTGTAACTTAAGGCTAATACCGAGGCAATCGGCACAGAATCCATATATGCCAACATGAGACTGATCACTTGCAGTCCTAAATAACGGTGAGAAGATACAAGTAAAACAATAACACCAAGTGAATTGTATAGTTTTTATATTTTACCAAGATATAAATTGATTATCCCCATCTACGACCTCGTATTCTACATACTTAGATATTGAATGTGAATCTACATATTTGTGTTTATAATTTGAATAATTCGCCTATTCACGTATATACAAATGTCATTAAAACAGAACAGAATTGAAGAGGAGGGGAGAAAGAGGTAATACATTGTACGGTTCATTGGAATGTTGATAATCATTTATCTGCTCCAGTTTGTAAATTAATTAATGAATGAATTAATTAATTCAATGTAGGTTAATCAAATTTGATTATTTCTAAATGAATATTGAAATATCAGATGGATTTTGTGGATATTATTAGTAATTTCAATGGTTAAGATCATGAGTCCATTGAAACTAGATTACTATGGAGAACCTGGAAGCACAACGCCTTCTGATAGTAATCGATATATGCTTACTAGTGAGTGGCTTCAAGAGGTATATCCTGGAGTTCTAGTGTGAAGTAAATACCAGTGGAGTTCAACCAGGTCTGTTGTGAGATAGTAACTCACTGAAGACAGTGGTGGATGTGTCGCTCAGTGATCTAGTGGCTAACGGATCGCTCGCGGAACCAGTAGGCCCCGGGTTTGAGTCTCGCAAGGGGCGAGGTTGTGGATGCGCACTGGTGACGAGTCCCACAATAGGATGAAACGGCTGTCCAGTACTCCCAGGTTTTCCATGGTGGTCTAGTTTCAACTAAATCATGATCTTAACCGTTGAATATTGAAATATTGGTATACTTTTAATGAATGAATATTGCAATGAAATACAAAATAAACCTTCTTTTAAGATTACAAGTACATCTTGATGATGAGTGGCAAGTAGCACGAAATTTAGTTCCAGGGTTTGCTGTTGACGACTACATTCAACTATCATCTTTTCTCAACTATAAGGCATGTAATATCGAGTCACCTTGACTACTGGCCACATTGAAACAGGATTGATGGGATTCGATCTGTACTAAGAAGGACCTGACACATATGACAGTGATCACCATCTAGTGATCTTCCATAATATTTATTATAGTACACTTCATACCTGTTATATTCATAAAGAGTTTTAAAATAACTAATTAATAGTGTTCACTGATTGAAACTCAAAGAATAGTTCTAATCTATGCTTGGAGATATTGGATGATATGATTTGAAATCGTTTAACATTGACACAGTTGTATTCATTCAGTGTCTTTCTTGATCGAACAATAGGATTAGATCGATTCTTCTCTTGAAGAAATTAATGCTTTCAGTGAGACTGGAATCCATTTTATCCCAGTTTCATAGTTTGAGATGTTCCGATTGAGCTATTCAGGCAGCGAATGACCTCCGGTAGGACAGAGGTATAGTGATCGATTTCATGTGCTCTCAAAATTACAGGTAATTCTTCCTGGTGAATTTCAACATGGTCAAAATTGTGATCCAGGATTCTTTCTCGATTACTTCCAATCACTAAACACGAAAATACAATTCTTAATATCACAAGGCACTTAGACAAGTGGCCAAATTGATCAATGGAATTTTGCCATCACTAAAGACTAAGCAAACACAACACTAGTCAATATTCAATTATCAGTCAACTGTATATCTACACCTCACTTAGAATGTGATTGCTATTATGAACTGACAGTTGAGAAAACTATTGCAGCTCAAAGATTACTGTATAATTTGAAGTTTCCATAAAACCCATAAGACTTTTCGACAGTGCATAGAGATCGAACCCAATACCTTCTAGTCTTGAGATAGGCTCTTAATCTTTAGATCAGTAAGTGATTACCCAATGGTTTACATTTCTAATATAGGTCAGATGGTTGAAGAGAGTTGACAAGATGCAATAAAATGAAGTTCCCAGCTAGGTAACACTTAATAGACAACGTTCTTTATTTCTAAATGAACTAAATTTCTCTTAGAGACCAGAACTTTTATAACTTGTGGCCTTTGTGCTCCTATCAATATATGATGTAATGATACCGCCAATTAGATAACAGTGACTTATCAACCGGACAAATGACGCATAAACCCATAAGAGCAGTCTTAAGTCCTTATCGGTCCTGCTTTCCACTTAGCCTTGCCTGTTAAATTTCGGTTTCCTTAAGATTGCTAACACAGTACTCTTCTGAGAATGGAACATTGAACTTTCTAGAGTTAACGCAAATTTATCACATACATATCACTAACTTAGTGTCTAGTAGTTTATACGTTTAAATTCAGTTCATTTTATGATACGGGACTCATTTCATCAGTGATAAATGCTTTACTTCCAACATGACTGACTTTTTCGGTTTCATTAAAACTTTATGACCTCTTGTAGACAGTCCCCAATAAACAGATGAGTCAATTGAAGATAGACCACCATGGAAAACCTGGAAGAACTAGATGTTCGTTTCGTTCCAGTATGGAACTTCTCATTAGTAAGAATACACGACCCCACACTGAAGGGACTCGAACATAGCACCGTCGGTCTCATGCGCGAATGCTTAGTCTCTAGACCACTGATCCGACATCTAACAGTGTTAATGATGTCTTACTTCAACCACTACCCTCCTCAATGAGTTACTATCACACAATAGATGCGGTTTAACTTCACTGGTCACTGCTTCTCATTAGAACTTTAGGAAATACCTCTTAGAGACAGTTACTAATGAGCATATGATGATTATAATCAGAGAGAGGGGTTTTGTAGAGATTTTAGTAATTTAATAGTTGAATTCATGAGTTATCTCAAGCTAGACCACCATGGAAAACCTGAGAGCAGTGTTAAATCACTATTAAATTAGTAAAATCTCCATAAAACCCCACTTTGTTTGTTATTAGAATGAAAGATTTCGCGATCCATGTATCTGAAAAGACCCACATTACGATATAAAAGTTATCTAGTGTTTATTTTTATTTCACCTCTTCAAATGATTGTCTTGATTCAATTCAATTATCTTTACAACCTTTTTAAACTAACCTAAACAGAATGAATGACAGCAGATACATTCAGCTGGTGAATCCCAAATAGGGCGAAACATGCGTCAAACTGGATTTTACTGGTAGCCACTATCCATTTTTTGCAATATGCATAGGATGAACATATCCCAACAAGAGACTGATCAATTACAGTCCTAAACATCAATGGGAAGATTCAAACAAATAATACTAAATGAATTTCAACTTCACCCCATTGCACAAGTAGGTGGCTATCAGAACTCAGTAGCTAAATGAATAATATGATAGCGTTCGAAGTGAACGGTACTGAGTTCGAGTCCCTAAGTGAACATCAACACCGAGATGCAGGTACATCTAGTTGATGAGTCCCAAATAGGACAAAACGCGCTTCAGACTGAATTCCATTGGTAGTCACTATTCATCTTTGCTTATAAAGAATTCATGATCGTTTTCATCATTAAAATGAATCATGTCAACATAGAACAATCAATTTAATTATCATTCAGAAATGATTTTGTTACTATTTTAATCAGATAAAGATAAAAGAAAAACTTGTTAGAACAATTTATCTCCATACACAATACCCTTCTTCCATCTCTCTCTCTCCACTTATCTCTCTCTCTCTCTCGTTGTCTATCCCTCTTTTTTCCCTTGGTCTCCCACATTAATACACACACACTTTCAATCATGTGCATATAAACAAAACTAATTCAATTACAGAGAAAAAGAAACTGTGCACAGGTTGTACCATATTGAAAATTAAAAGAAATAAAGACAACCGTTCTACAAGCTATTTGTCACATCTGTTTAGTGAATGAAACATTTTGACATAATCAATACAGAATAATTATAGTAGTAGTAGTAGTAGTAGTAGTAGTAGTAGTGGCAGTAGTAGAAGTAGTAGTATTGGTAGCAGTGGTAGTAGTGGTGGTGGTAGTGGCAGCACTAGTGTTGGTAGCAGTAGTAGTAGTATTGATGGTAGTAGTGGTAGTAGTAGTAGTAGTGGTAGTAGTAGTAGTCGTGGTCGTAGTAGTAGTAGTCGTGGTCGTAGTAGTAGTAGTAGTAGTAGTAGTAGTAGTAGTAGTAGTAGTAGTAGTAGTAGTAGTAGTAGTAGTAGTAGTAGTAGTAGTAGTAGTAGTAGTAGTAGTAGTAGTAGTAGTAGTAGTAGTAGTAGTCGTAGTCGTAGTCGTAGTCGTAGTAGTAGTGGTAGTAGTAGTAGTAGTAGTAGTAGTAGTAGTCGTAGTCGTAGTCGTAGTCGTAGTAGTAGTGGTAGTAGTAGCAGTAGTATTAGTGGCACTAGTATTGGTAGTAGCAGTACTCATATTAGTAGTATGTGCATGTTGTTTTATTTAAAAAGAAGGAAGATAACCGATAAATATTACAAAGAGCCAAACAATCAAATGACTTGTAGTTGACTGAATTTGTCTGGGAAATAATTCCAGTTTCCTTTTTTTCCCAGTAATGGAAAGTCTCGGATCGATTAGATATGTCTACAATTATTAGTTTAATATTTGTAAATCAGTTAATCTCAGCATTTCTCCTCTTTCTCTCTCTCTCTTTGTGTTTCATCTATTGATAATGTCAAATTGTACTATTGATAATGATTTTGATTATCATTGATTAGTATCATTCAATACTTAAACAGATATTTAACTTGATTAGTTACACAGATAATATGGATTCATACTGAGGATGACGACGATGATGATGATGGTAATGAAGCGGATGACGGAGGCAGTGGTGGTGGTGGTGGTGGTGGCGGCGGCGGCGGTAGCAATAAGAATCATTCATTTTCAATTATATATCCCTATTCTATTTTCTTTTTTAACATTCAAAGTGGTAGGGAACAACTTACAACAGACAAGATAACTATCTGTGAAATTTGGCAAATGTCATTGTCACATACATGCACATACACACACACACACACGCATATAAATAACACAAAAACAACTGGATAAATCTGAAATTTAAGAAAAAATTATGATTCATTTTAACGTGATTAGTAACTTCTGTCTAATATCAGAAGGGGTTTTGTGAAGATTGTAGTAATTTCAATAGTTAGAATCATGAGTCAATTGAAGCTAGACCACCATGAAAAACCTGGAAGCACTGGATGACCGTTTCATCCTATTGTGTGACTCCTCAACAGTGCTCATCCATAACCCCTCCTGATAGTAATCAATATATGATCACTAGTGGCTGGCTTCAAGAGGTATTTCCTGGAGTTTTAATGAGAAGCAGTGACGAGTGGAGTCCAACCGGGTCAGTGGTGACATAGTCACTCACTGAAAACAATGGTGGATATGTTGCCCAATTTCGTGGATTAGTTGAAGTGAGACTTTAACACCGTTAGATGCCAACCGGCTCAGTGGTCTAGTGGTTAAGCGCCTGTGAGCCGCGACTGATCGGTCATGGGTTCGATCCTCGCGAGGCGGGATCTTGGAAACTGCTGTTACAGTTGATAGAATGAAAACAGAATTTGTAGGTTGTACAGTGAAATATTCCAGATATAATATTATGGTTAGTTAGGTAACTAAATATGAAAAATGAATTAAATGAGTTGCAACTTAATAATAACCAAGTAGAACCAGACAATAATTCTGTTCTAACATAAAACTAATCAATAGTGTACACTAATGACTGGAATCTGAAATGATCTAAACATTAAATATTCACCTTATGATCTGAAGCTCTTGAGTTAGATCTGTTTTAGATTGTGTTATATATTAAGAAGAAATAACTGTCTGATGTGCGTCTATCTCAATGCTTTCAGCTGAATCTATTTCTCAACAGGGAAAGATGGTAAAGCAGGCAAATGAAACGATGTCAAACGAATAGGCCACATTGTGCTAATTAAAAATCCCCCCAATGACATATGAATGTGATTGGTCAAGAAATAGCCTTATTTTCTAGGGAGTTGATGTCATTATCAACTCCTTAAAAAAATAAGGCTATTTCTCCTCCCTGGAGGCAGTGTGTTTGCAACCACTTCGAATTGAGATCATGTTCCAGTCGTGTGACTTTTACCCTCAAATACCCTGGTACGGCCGAGAGTAAGGAAAGTTCGCTCTCCCTCTCGAAATGCTCTCACATGGCCACTTGCATACAACCACTGACAGGGAATTCCTACTCACTGCCTTCTCGTGGCGGGGGTGTTGTGGTGGTGGTCGGTATTCGATATAATCCTTAAACTTCGTATACAGCTCGTCTTGATAACCGTTCTATATAACGTCCCAACAGTTTATTAATCAGAAGGCAAATACGAAGTGTTGATTACGTTTATTACGAGACCACACACATATATCCAAATGTACAGATGCGTTAAACAAGCATAGAAGAGTTGTGCCGAAAGGCAAGCAAGCGAGCGAGAGCCAGAGCAAGAGCGGGACGAGAGTGTGTGAGTGAGTGAGTATGAATAACATGGACATATATATACCTAGTGAAATGAATGAGTAATCGAATCAAATAATCAGTTAGTAGTAAGACTAGCAGAGTGAATAAATGCGTAGGGCGTAAGCAATATTCAAGCATACGTATTTCATACAAGCACAAAATAATAAGGGTACAATAAGTTGTTATAGTGCGGATGACTTTATCCGTTAAATGAGTTAGCAAAAGGGCTTAACTGCGTTAGATGAGACTAAACTCATTTGCACGTGAGTCGCTATATTGTTTACGAAATTGAGAGAATGAAAAGTGAATGTCCGACGCTTTAAACGGGTTGGTGGACATGGAGAGTCCGCCTAGGGGAGTTGAAAAACTTTGATTCCAAACCATTGGTGCACATGGGCTCCAGTATTCTGAGGGAACAAAAGACGTACGAACCAATCGTTGGTCACCGGCTACCATGAGATTGCATCTCCTTTGTGGATCAGATCTTCAGGTCGAAGGCTCCGATTGTGGTCTCCTAAGAAAACCACTTGTTTCGGTTTGGGAACCCGCACAGCATCACAGCCGTCTCACATATACCAAATGAGATTTGTGTGGCGCATATGTTATTTGGTGCCTCCTTGTACCAATATCTATGTGTTAAAAAATAAAATAATTAAAAATTAAAGGAGTTGACATATAAATATATGAGTAAGTGTTTATGAATTCGGTTCGATTTGGCTCAGTAAATTTCCTTCTTTTTACTTAGTATTCTCACTCATTAATCGGTTGATGGCTTGAATACAGAAAATTTGTGTAACAATGTCAGACTTGGATACTGTGGATCATGATACTATTGAAAGCTTAATGATTTCCAAAATCCATATCTATTTAAGGTTAGTTTGTATTGTAACTGATCTTTGAACGAACCAGTCTACATAAACCTCTCATTCTGTAAGCGAATTCCATTGTCAGTTAAAATTCTCCAGTTAATGATTATTATGCTTGATAATGGAACCTAGAATCTTTATGGATCAATCTTGTTTGTAGTTAACAGTGAGTGAATAATAATACTTCGACGCCTAATCAAAGCTCGTGAAGAGCAGATTAGAGAAAACCAGGCCGGTTTTCGACCTGGACGTGGTTGTATAGATCAGATATTCACACTACGTCAGGTTCTAGAACACAGACACACATTCAGACGCCCCACAATGGTAGTATTTCTCGACCTTAAGGCGGCATTCCACTCTGTTGATCGTGAGGTTCTATGGCAGTGTTTGTCACTGAAAGGAGTACCAAAGAAGTACATTAACCTTGTAAAGGCTCTCTACTCGAACACAACTGGTAGAGTGAGAGCTTATGGCGAACTGTCATCAGAATTGATTATCTCAAGTGGTGTTCGTCAGGGCTGTCCACTCTTCCCATTCTTGTTCAACTTTGTGGTCGACATACTTTTAGAGATAACACTCTCCTCATCTAAATTTCCAGGGGTTGAACTTCTACCGGGAGGTTCACTTGTTGACTTAGAATATGCAGATGACATAGTTTTATTTGGCGAAGACGCTGACAAAATGCAGAGTCTTCTGACCACTCTAAGCAACAATGCAAGCATGTTCGGGATGCGATTCTCTCCCTCAAAATGCAAAATGTTGCTTCAGGATTGGGTTACATCGACACCCGAACTAGTGATGAGGAGTGAAGTAGTTGAGTGTGTCGACCGCTTCACTTATCTTGGAAGTCTCATCAGCCCTTGTGGCCTGGTGTGTGACGAAATCTCAGCACGGATACAGAAGGCTCGACTAGCTTTTGCCAACTTGCGTCATTTATGGCGTAGGCGAGATATCCGTCTATCAACCAAAGGACGGGTTTACTGTGCAGCAGTTCGTCCCGTTCTACTTTATGGCAGTGAAACATGGCCGGTAAGAGTAGAGGATATCCGTAGGTTACTAGTATTCGATCATAGGTGTCTTCGAAACATTGCTCGTATATCATGAGACCATCGAGTAAGTAATGCAGTTGTTAGGAAACGGGTACTAGGTAAGGATGGCAAATCAATTGATGAAGTAGTGAAACTTCATCAGTTCAGATGGCTGGGACACGTAATACGTATGCCTAACCACCGACTACCTCGACGTGCTATGTTCAGTGTTATAGGAGTAGGTTGGAAGAAAGCTAGGGGTGGCCAAACCAAAACATGGCACAAGTCCATGAAGTCACTGACAAGTGAACTGAGTCATGTTGGTAGGTGTAGACTACCTGGTTGGGGAACACGAGATGATAGCAACCGATGGTTAGAGACCCTGAATGACATGGCTCAAAATCGTTTGCAATGGCGCAGGTGCATCCACTCTCTGTGTTCTCCTAAATTCTAATCTTCTGAATTCTTCATGTCCCTTTTTTCCTCTTTCCAAATTTGTTTCACTGGATTATACTCTTTAAATAACATCTCCAAACCCTAATCTTCCCGATTACTGCTTATACTCTTGCTACCTTTACCACTACGGGATTTGAATCGACCACTGCATCTCTGTGCTAATGTGGTGTGGCAACTCGAACTCATGTACGTACGTACGAAGTTCTACGTTGTTACTGACTGACTAACAGTGAGAACTTTTAAAGAGTTTGCACCTATGACAGATTAAATGTCTAACTTCAGGATTTTTGATAGTACATAAGCTAATACTCATCTGTACTGGGAATCATCTTCATAATGCAATATGACAGATAAAATGAACAGCTACAATATCACATACTAATTACTAATGGTTAATAGGATTGATTCACTGATGTAATTAACATTTCATCTACAAATTCATCAGTATATTCACAGTAACTTTCGAGTTCTACAAATTAAAACTATACGAAGTGATCATTTACAGTCAAAATTTATTTGAATTACGCCATTATTGATATGAACGAAATCTCAGTACGGTTTCAAAAAGCTCGTTTG